AATTAATTTGCGAACGTCAAAGGCTGGCCAAGGCAGTAAATGTCCTATATCTCCTCCAGGATGGCAGCAGTCGTTTGTCTCCTCAAGGTTAGCAAATCATCATGAATGGCCGAACGAACTCGCCGCAAAGTGGCAGCGGGGCTTTGGCACTGGTGATTGCCAATGTTGTTGATTACATGCACCAAAGCCTCGTCTCCACGTCTCCACGCTTCCGATAAATTGCAATTTTGCGACAGTATGTAAGTATTCGCATTGAAGTATGACGTCGAAGACTTGCACGCTGACTAGAGCAGAAGCAACTTAGTGTCAAAAGTCAACCGATCAAATACTTTGAACGCAAGTGGATGAAACCAACGAAAATCCTTTCTAAGCCGGTATGCCTTTTGTTTGAGTGCCGAGCAGTCCCACAGAAATATGCTGCTAAAATGATAATTGAAAGCACCGGGACTGTGCTTTTGCGATCCAAATGGGATAAATAGCTATCTTGGTCATATACGCGCACATGAACTAAATTGCCATCAGAAACTCCCAACATGAATCATGAGTACAGTTCAGGGCGAAGCGGTCGTACTTAGACGCCCAAATTGGCAATGCAAAGTATACGACAAATAGAGCGACCCCCGGTTACAATCGCCCCGAATAAACATACGACAAATAGAGCGACCCCCGGTTACAATCGCCCCGAATAAACATACGACAAATAGAGCGACCCCCGGTTGCAATCGCCCCGAATAAACATACGACAAATAGAGCGACCCCCGGTTACAATCGCCCCGAATAAATTCAGAGAGTGTGTATTGAACGGCGGGCCTCACTTCACTCCCGCAGACTGACCCCTGACCGGTGGTGTCATGTCTGACCACAGCCATAGAGACCGCGCGAACCGGACTGCGCCGCTATGCTAATTTTCGAATTACTTTTTTCTTCTCCTCCTTTCTTCCTCGTCTTCCTTCTTTCCTCCTTGCGAGTATTTACAGCGTACGCCATCGGAAATAGCCTTGACATGAGATAAAAACCTGTACCATTTCGAGTGGAATTCTATGTATGTGTTTTGTTGTTGTTTGCCTCGTGCAGTGTCCCGAAGACGCGCATTGCTTGCGTGTTGAATTAAAAAAGCAAGCTTGCCTCATCTCTGCTTTGCTTTAAGCAATCATGCAGCACGAGGTACGAAGGCTGAATGCGCATTGTGCTCAAACTGCGTAACTTTCAGTCATTTCACACGGATTATTGCGTAAGTGCTGAAAGCCTGGCATGCATCACGCACATGCATGAGAGCCACGACCCGCGATGAAAAATTTACGCCCACCAAGAAAACGAACCGGCTTTTACACTGACACCGCACGGAGCTCGTCTTACCCCATCACCCTCTTCTCGCAACCTTGCCCTGTAACACTGCCCCACACTCACTTGTGGAGGCCGCGATACAAGGCTGGTTGGATATGAAAGACGGGATCAAACGCTGGGCCTGACGCAGGGCCGCAGCCAGGATTTTCTTGGAGGTGAAGAGAGAGCGTTGAGTTCGGGGAGTATGCCTCACACCGATTTGGATTTTCTGCGGGGAGCCATTTATGGTGAAGAGCTAAAAACTGAGCCCTATGGAGAGGAGGAGGACCCCCAAGTTTCCCCCTTGGCTGCACCCCTGGGCCGCCGCAACGCAAAAAAAAAAAACAGGAAAAATGATTGCCTTGTCCAATACACCTTGGACACGTTGATCGCCCACAGGTGGCGCTACGGCTTGGCATGAGTTGTAGGTGGCGCTAGCCGTATGCAGTAGGTGCCGCACTCTTGACAGGCACGCGCGTCTAACTTCAACAACACGAGGAACGAGGCTCGTTCGCAACTTGACGGTTTCCCAGGCATTTCCTTTAATTATAAAAGCATTAGCGTTCCGTGTCCATCACAGTAAATTGTATCCCGCATTTCATGCCATGGCCGCAATGTGGAGGTCCCCCCCGAAAATCATACATTTGGCGTGTTTGACTTCAGAGGCTGACGCCACCTGCATTTTAGGTCATTGAACCTGCATCAAACTGGCTGAGCATGATCACAGCACTCATGCTCGTAGCGGATTCTCCGTACTCGAATGCAACGTCCAAATAAGCCGCTGGAAGCCCGTGTATTTTTTACAGCTGCAAGACAATGCCGAAGGCAGAATGCTGACGTAGATCTTGTACGTCTCTATGGAAACGCCCCGGCTGCGTATTGGTACATAGTGACCAACAGCTTATATATATATATACCATATGCCCCGGCCAACAATCAACCTCTGCAGAAAATGTTTCGCCTGCATACGGTGTTTGGAATTAGGCAGATACATCGCAGTGCTGAGGGAGATAATCACAACAATATCCACATTACGACCTAAATACGCTGATCATTAAGTCTGAAAATAATCAGCTCGACAAATAATTCGTCCAGGGTGTATACCAATCATAGCAACATAAGCAACGACTCACAGAGTCGATAACTGCTCTGATTGGTTGGTAAAAGATATTCTTTGAAGTTAGACAGCGGGGAAATCCGCAACGAACTACTTCTTTCAATCGCACCTCCCAATGCAAAGCTTGTTCAACCATCTCGCGAGTAGGGGATGCCCATTTACACTTTACATGGGGATGTCCAACGACCAGAAAGTGGTAGGATCGCAAGAGACGCCCGAAAATCGCAAGGAGTGTTAACTGCCACTGCCGGGCAGCATCCAAATGGTGCCCTTGTCTGTTCATAAAGTCACTGAGGAGTGTTCCTCACAAAGTTTACCCTACACCTCGAGAAGTGTTCAGAGAACGCTCCTCAGGGGCGCAGGCTCCTATTCAATTGAAGGAGCACTACTTTCCATAACTGTGACGGAAAAGTGCGCCGAATTCGAGAAGACACTCGTTTTCCTGTATTTCTGAGACAACTATAGCCATCATTCTTGCTCAGCCCCCGCCCCACCCGTTCTGCAAAACGACGCCACTTTGGACGCCAATGCAAACGGTGTGAAATCGCCACATTGTCAGTGAGCAGACTCATGTATATATATACATACATATATATATATATATATATATATATATATATATATATATATATATACAGACGGTGAACGTTGAATGTAAATAGCGGCCGGAATGCGGTCTTTTGTTTTGTATGAACTAACGGTTATGAATCCTGTCTTTCGCAAAACTTGTAAATTCCCGACACCGTTAATAACAGCAAAGAGTCGATCATCGTTAGCGCACCATGTTTACCCGCATTTCGTCCCTTTTTGATAACAAGAAAGTGTGAAAGATTCGCTTGAAGTCTGTGATGTACATTGTAGTAAATGGACCACGTCGTCTGCAAATCTTTGCTTCCATTCTCGCTAAGCACCATTAAAAAAGCTTCCATTTGCCATATGAGTTTCCCATTCACCAATGCGGGAATGACGTTTTCCAGCTCAAAACACACCCCACCACAAAGTTCAACATTTTCAAGAGCGTACAGCTATCTGTCTCCGCACAGCTGTCCGCTTCCGTGCAGCTGTCCGTTTTCGTGCAGCTGAACCTCCACTTCATCCCCACTTAATCTCCTCGTAATCTCACAACACAAGCCCCGCGTCGAGCTGGTCCACTGGGTTCCTCCGTACACGCCTCCAGGCGTGACCCAAGCGTGACAGTTCTGGAAATGGACGCTGTGGTATCGCCCAAGTCGAGACGGATCTGGATCGACCTCCAGATCCGAACAAGGCGCCTGGCTTTAGAGGCTGCTGCCCTTGGTGGCCTCAGGTGCCAGCCAGATGTCTGACGTGCAGTCTCCACCAGGATATCTGCGAAAAGATTGATCGTTGATCGAAGATCAGATGATAAGAGATGATCGAAGAAATAAGCCGAGCTGACTGGACGCCACGGCCCTGGGCAAACGTTTTCGTTAACTGCATGTTATTCGTAGACCAAGCCAACCAGAAGTTGGCTTGGCCAACAGAGAAATTTTATTCGGTTTTAATCACCCACTGGAGATCGAGTTCGTGATGATGGTTTGCTTTTCGAATTTGATTTCGATCTCTAGGAGATCATCCTATGGACCGGGGGTCTGATCTATTCGCCGTTGGCGCGGTAACAGCGCGACAACCGTGGGGAGGCTAAGCAAAGGGGAGCAAACCCCGCTGGTTTGGTGAAGTGATAGCAACCGTCCAGTAAGATGGACAGTAATTGATAACTGTTATTGGTGAGACGTGTGACATGGGGCATTGATGTTTCTCTTACTGGCGTTCTTTTCCATGCAACAGCACGGATTTACCTTGGACTTTGACCTTCGTAAAAGTTGAAGACTAACCTACCCCTCTGATCCGATCCGACCCGTCAGAGGTCGCTTCCAATATAATGCCAGACACTCATGAGCAGCTTTATGATGCAGTCAATAATACAGCTTTACGCGTGGGGCATCCGATGCTCGATTGCCCTGTCTTACATGTTTAATAGGCCTTCTCTATAGTAGATAGCATGGGGAACACGAAGTTCCCTAGTCCGGCCAAGGTGGGGAGATCCGCATCCGACGGTAGGTGGCGTGTTTCCCGACAACGTACTTACTCACTGATACTTTGTATCAGTAAGTACTTCGGCATCCAGCAGATGTGATGTGCTCCCATCACTTACGACCACGAACGTTGCCGCGCTTCGTTTCCTTATTCATTACGGTTCAAATAGCTATCACGATCGTTACTTGCCGTCAACAACTTGTTGTCTCCGCTGATCCAGGTGTCACAAGCGTGGCAAAAGCGAGCGAGCATGTACCCTGGCGATTACCTCATTTCGTGAGCCAGGACGGGGCCGTTTGGCTCGTCGTGGAAGTCGACCAAGAAGTCCTTGTTGAGGGTCAGGCCTCCACGCTCGGTGTCTACGTCAATCTGCAGCATCATTGTGCCACGCCTGCCGGGGGGGGGGGGGGGGGGGATGGGGGAGGTGAAGAGATCGCATACAAAGTCACGGTCATGAAGAAGCGACCCCTCATGCACGTCACGTTTCAAGAACCTGAATTTGCAACGCTCCTGTGCCGGTTTCTGTACCCTGCACCTGATCACTCACCCGAAAATGTACTCTCTCGAACTGCTCCTGTACAGCGAAACTAGCACTAGAACTGCATGTTGTTTCCAACTGTCACTGTACCCTCCCTGTTCCTGCTTGGAGCTGCTCCCGTTCGGGCGTCGCGCACCTGACCATGCTGGGGTAGAACTGCTTGTCCCATGGCGAGAACAGCGAGTCGGTGACGTACAGCCGCTTGCCGTCCAGGCTCATCTGCAGCATTTGCGGCGCCCCCTCGATGCGCCGTCCCTTGATGTACACCGGCGACGGCTGCTTCTGTGGTGGGAGGAAGCAGCCGGTTCACATCAAGACCGCATGGCACGCTAGCAGGCGAAGCCTCGGATAGTCTCCGAAATCCCTCATTTGTTGTTATAGGGCAGCTGACTTGTCACGACCAACGCTTAATCCTGAATATTCACGACTTTATCTTGATGAAAGTCTGAATGATATCGGCCCTGGTCCCACTAACCATTACTGCCCAGTCACAAAGGTCTAGATCCCACGCCCATCAACAACAGCATCACCTGACCACCGCCTTCAGCTCGGGCATGGCACTTCACCCATCCCCTTCAAGGGCCTGGCCAACTTGCAACACGCCGTCCGTTCCTGATGCTGGGTATCCTTGAGCTCACCAGCTAACGCCGACCCCTGTTTCTGGATGACCCCGACTAGCTACACAACAACAGACACTGATCCTCGACAGCAATGACCCCACTTCCAACAGGGATTACCCCGCACCATGTATCGTCAGATTCTGGTTTCATATAACCTCACCTGACATTTACCGTCACATTCTGGTCCTCCATAACAATGGCCTCACCCAAACCAAGGACCCCTCCTAAAACCACCGTCCACAGATTCCTGAAACCCGATATCTAAAACCCATCTCACAAAAGATCTTGAACCCGCCTTTGCCAAGAAGCTCCCCACGCACGATGCTGGTCATTGATGACACTCAACCCACTACATCAAATTGCTCCATTAAGCAACTAACGTCGGCTCCCAGTAATCGACGAGATCGACCGGCCACCCGCCGTCAGGTACCAACTCTCAATTGCCCTGAATGTCAGCTCCCGGTTCTGAACGTCAATCGCACTGCATGTCAGCTTCCGGTTCCGAACGTCAATCGCACTGCATGTCAGCTTCCGGTTCCGAACGTCAATCGCACTGCATGTCAGCTTCCGGTTCCGAGCGCCAATCGCACTGCATGTCAGCTTCCGGTTCCGAACGTCAATCGCACTGCATGTCAGCTTCCGGTTCCGAACGTCAATCGCACTGCATGTCAGCTCCTGGTCCTGAAGGTCAATCTACCTACCGTCAGCTCCCGACCCTCGGTGACCTCGACCGACCACCTACCGTCAGCTCCTGGTCCCGAACAACCTTGACTTTGCCGTCATCCAGGATGCTGCCGCCGAGGAAGATCTGGCCGACCAGCCGCGGGCGGCGCGGGTCGGAGATGTCATACTGCCGCACGTCGCCGTGCACCCAGTTGGAGAAGTAGAGGAAGCGGTCGTCCAGCGAGATCAGGATGTCGGTCATCACGCCTGCCGAGCAGGCGACGAGGCTCGAGAAACATGCAGATGTTGGGATGTTATGAGCAAGCAGCGCGGGTCGAAGCTTGTTAACGATGCATTGTGCAACGCCTTCCTGCGTTGTAGTGTTTGCGATGCAGACGCCATTTTGTGGCAATATTGCAACGCGTTTGGACGCCGTCTTGTTTTTGATAGTGACACTGACGCATTTCGAAGCAAAGGTGAAACAGCAAAAAGCCAATAACGGCAATGTTCCGCAACACACAAAAATTCCTCTTTCACAGCTCAAAACACACGATATGCAGCTCTCTTCATCGCATTTTGAGGACGTTTTAGTAGTGACGGATGGTTTTTGCACCAGGGCTACAGAAAGTGCCTATTTAAGTGTCTGTAAAAACTCATGCCGCAAGTGCCAACTTTACGGACGAAGTGCTTCCAACGTGCTCCGTAAAAGCTTACTTTTCGAACAGAACGCTTCAAAATTACTCTATCACCACCGAAATCACTCCCTAAACACCACCAAACACCCCCAAACACTCCCGAACACCCTCAAACATCCCAAACACCCCCAAACACCCACCTGGCATATCCTCCAGGATCCACCCCTCCACCTTCTTCGGTGGAATTGTGATCACTTTCTCCGCCGCCCAGTTTCCGCTCGGCTCCAGGTAGAACCGGTATACGGCCGCATTCAACGCGCACCCGACGAACCCTTGCGCCTGCTTCGGGTCGTGCAGGAACCGAATCTCGAGCGGCATCACGCCCTCGGCGCCCAGGTCGATCCTCTGCATCAGCCGTCGGGACGTCCAGTCCCAGATGTTCAGGTGGGTGCCGTAGCGGCCGGCGGCGAGGTCGTCGAGGTTGAGACCCCGACCGAAGGCACGTGGTGAGCCCCACTCGGTGGAGATCATGACGTTGTAGTACGGCTG